CGGCGCCCCGCGTGGACATCTTCCGGGAAGCCATCCTCGACCTGCTTGACATGGAGCCCTAAGCCCTAAGCCCTAAACCCTAAACCCTAAACCCTAAACCCTAAGGCCTTCTACGACTACTATGGGGAGGTTAATAATTAGAATAGGGTTTTGGGGGGTATTATCGTACAACTATAGAGGGACCCTAGGGGACGATGACTAGCAATTATTCCGGCCCCCCATATTTTTACTGGGTCTGTTCCCGGCCCAGTCTTCTTATCCTTATACAGGCATCATAAGGGGGGAACATGTTGGTTTTTTGGGGCCAAACCCTAAATCCTAAGTCCTAAGCCCTAAGCCCTAAACCCTAAACCCTAGATCCCAAACCCTAGACCCTAGACCCTAAACCGTAAACCCTAAACCCTGAACCGTAGATCCCAAACCCTAGACCTTAAGCCGTAAACCCTAAACTCTAAAGCCTAAACCCTAAACCCTAAACCCTAAACCCTGAACCCTAAACCCTAAACCCTAAACCCTAAACCCTAAACCCTAAACCCTAAACCCGAAACCCTAAACCCTAAACCCTAAACCCCAACCCCTGTACTTACAGTGACTTCTGGGGTCTCGGCTTCCCCAACACACTCCCAAAGAGGACCTTGCGGAGCCTGTGGCGACTTCCAGCCTGTTTTTTTGAAGCTGTGCCAGCGAAACGCCACGCTAACCCTAATTTGGGTTTAGGGTTTAGGGTTTAGGGTTTAGGTTTTAGGTTTAGGGTTTAGGGTTTAGGGTTTAGGGTAGGAAGCACGAAAGCCAGAAAGCCCTGAACCCCGCAGCAGGAGCTTGGCACGCGCTTCAGCGAGAAGGCTCGGCTCGGCCTGACAGCCGCTTCGACCGAGTTGAGCATCGTTGCAGCAGGCTTGTGGGTGGCTGTAGTAGGCCTTTATTTCCTATGTTTCGGTTTAGGGTTTAGGGTTTAGGGTGTAGGGTTTAGGGCTAGGAACCCGGAGTGGGCCCTTATTTCCTTTTTTAGGGTCGGGGTTCCCTGATACTCCCCTTAAAACCAAAACGGGAACCAATTTTCCTAGGTTTTTTCCTGGGTCTAGGGTTTTGTGGTCTGGGGATGCAGGGTTTGGGGTTATGTAGAGCTGCTTGGAGGTCCACGGGTACGGACAAGTAGGGTTACAAGCACCCTGCATGATGAGCTTCAGATGTAGCTTTCCCTGCGCTGCTGTCAGCTTTCAAACCTAATTCTAACTAACCCTCAACCCTAAACCCTAGAACTTTAAGGTTTCTGATGTTTAGGGATTTCGGGGGTCCTGGGATCCACCGGTAGTGCGCCTTTCCTCTCGTCCCTTTCGAAAGTGATTGCGTTTGGAGAAGTTGTTTTTTTCTTTGGCTCGCAATGAGAATTATGTACAATAGGTGGGTTGATAATCGCGTTGACAAAAAAGTGTGACAATATAGGGTTTGTGAGATATAAAACCCAAGAGGATATTAAACATATTACTTTTATTAATGTTCTAAGGGGAGTATAGTACAGAACTTCAGAACTTCGGGGGTTTGGGGCTTCGAGCTTTGCTGGGCTGTTGGGCTTGGGGCGCTCCAGGACCCAGTCTGGAGTTTAGTTTAGGGCTTAGGGTACAGGGTATAGGGTACGGGGTTTAGGGGTTTAGGGTTTAGCGTTTAGGGTTTAGGGTTTAGGGCCCTAGGGTTTAGTCTTTAAGGGGGTGCCGCCAAGGCCATACTGAACTATGTGGGCGGCGCGTACATTTACATCCGCTGCGGGCTCAGACTTCGAAGCCCGGAGCACAAACCCTAAACCCTAAACCCTAAACCCTAAACCCTAAACCCTAAACCCTAAACCCTAAACCCTAAACCCTAAACCCCTTGCCTACCCCAAGCAGGACAGCAATTAGGATGGACCAGGGAATGCGGACCGTTGGGGCTCCAGCCATGCTCTTTCATTCATATGATGATTCTTCTTGGTATTATACTTGTTAGTAATACCATTGCTATTGTTCTTATTATTCTAATAATTCTTATTATTCTTATCGTTCTCACTATTCTTACTTCTTCTTCTTCTTCTTATTCTTCTTCTGATTATTATAACCCCCTGAACCCTAAGATCCCGACAAAACTTCCATCCTTCAGTGCAAGGGCCCTTGCCGGCACTGGTGGTAGCCTTGCGTTCCGCGCACCAGCGCGGCTGTGGGAAACTCCTAGCGTTTAGGGTTTAAGCGTTTGGCGCTTAGGTTTAGGGTTTAGGGTTTAGGAATCGGAACAAATACTAATATTCTTCCCTTCTGACCCCATTATAAGTATACTATACTAGCCCCCCCCAAAAACCATTTCCAATTATTCAGGCCCCTGTAGAAGGCCTAAACCCTAAACCCTAAAACCCTAAGCCCCAAGCCCTAAACCCTATTTTAATTATTCAGGCCCCCATATTACCCCACGTGGTCTACGCAAGCTGAAGGCCGAGAGTATGCTGGCAGAATACGGATTATCCAGAGGAGTTGGCGGATCGCCACGAAGAAGGCCAGGGTTTAGGGTTTAGGGTTTAGATCAAAAGTTATAGTAAAGTACCACAAAGCCCTTAGATTCCCCCCTTAGCTTCCTCAGAGAGAGCCTTTTGCAGGAAACGTCGGAGGAATCGAAGAAGGTGGGGCAGGGCGCCGAGGTTGGGCACCCAAAACCCAAATCCCTAAACCCTAAACCCCAAACCCCAAACCCTAAACCCTAAACCCTAAACCCTAAACCCTAAACGTTTCCTGAGGCATCCATCACTTCGAACACCTTTGGATTTGTCAGCGGCCCTTCTCTCTCTCCCCTCTCGCTGTCTCTCTTTTTCTCTCTGTCTGTCTCTCTCTCTCTCTCTGTATATCTTATACATATATATAGTATGAGAGTATATATATATATACATATATACATACGCATTTAATACTATAGTGCAATATTATAATGTACGATTATGAGATGAGATTAGAACACGCTAGCTCGTCTTCGCATGGCAGCCATCAGCCTTCAAGAGCGACCCTTTGTTTTTGAGAGCAGGTAGATGAGGACCTTCCCGAAGAAGAGCGTCCCAATCCAGGCCCTCGTTCTTCTGAGACTTTAAGGTTTAGGGACTTTACGGTTTGGGGCTGCTTTTGGGGTTTAGGCTTAAGTGGCTTCAGTGGCTTCAGGACTTTGAGCGCTTTTGGGCTTTTGGGGCTTGGGGGGTGTTAGGCGGGTTAGAGGGCTCCGCTGGGCCTGAACCACTCTAAGGCCCCCAAAAAAATGAAAAGCCCTAGCAGCCCTTAATGGCCTAAGCTCTTAAAAACCCCCCGGAACGAAGACCCCAAAACCCTAGAAGCTCCCAAAATCCAAAACCCTTGAGAATTCTAGCATGAAGCCCCCAAACCCTAAACTCTGCACCCTAAACCCTTAAGAATTCTAGCACGAAGCCCTTCAAAAACCCTAGAAGCCTGAACCCTAAACCCTCAACCCTAAGCCCTAAACCCTAAACCCTAAACCCAGGGAGGCACAATGTGGAAAAGAAGCCCCCCAACGAGACAGAACCGGATCGCACGGCACCCCAGAGCCACCTTAGGGTTCAGGGTTCAGGGATCAGGGTTTAGGGTTTAGGGTTTAGGGTTTAGGGTTTAGGGTTCAGGGTTCAGGGTTTAGGGTTTAGGGTTTAGGGTTTACGGTTTAGGGTTCAGGGTTTAGGGTTTAGGGTTTAGGGTTTCGGGTTTAGGGTTCAGGGTTTAGGGTTTATGGCATTCTGTCGGGTACTCATCGTAGGATACCTGTGTAGCACTGTTGCAATGTCGGGTGTAGGGTTGAGGGTGTGCTTTAGGGTGCGGTGTTCGAGGGGCCCGCTAAGCCTTGATCTCTCCATCCCTGCACAGCCCAGTCACAAGCTGAAGGGGCTGAAGGAGAGACCCTTGGAAGAGACCTTCGGGGTTATCTACGGGCTTAGGTATATCGGGACTATGTAAGGTGTGTATAGGGGTTATATAGGGGAATACGTTTCGACCCCTGAACAAGCACCTCCCCCCAAACACTTTGCGAACTCCCTCAAGCCCATGGCCCCCCATACGCTCAACCCCAATGGGTTTAGGGGATTCGGACGTAGGGTTCAGGGTTCACAGGGCCAAAAACTCAACCCTGAACCCAATCCCAACCCTAAACCCCTAACCTAAACCCTAAACCCTAAAACCCTAAAACCCCATAAGCCCCTCCGACCCTACACCTGCCCCCCCGGGTGCCAAGGCGAGAAATCCAAGAAGGGGGTTCAGGCTGCGACTCTGTGGACTGTTGGGTGGAGTCTATGGCCTACTTGGAGGTTCGTGGTACTTACTAACCAGTCGTAACTATATAGGGTTTAGGGTTTAGGGTTTAGGGTAACTGTACTTATAACCATATTGGGGCACTTAAGGTGCTTATAAGTGGGTTCTAAGTACAGTTATAATTGGTTAGTAAGTACCAGATACGGGAATACCGTATTGTGCGACTACAGGAATAGAGTAAGCAAAATAATGGTGTTCTTGTACTATAATAGTACAAGTATATGAGCATCACATCGTTTATCTACTATGAATCATATGTTAGTGGAGCATGTCTATGATCTCCAGATTCGGTTCAGGGATGTTAGTGTTTTAGTGCTCGATTAGGGATCTCAGGGCGTTGGGTGAGAATCGCTCACAAGTTCCTAACCCTAAACCCTAAACCGTACTAAACCCTAAACCCTAAACCTAAACCCTAAACCCTGTAAACCCTAAACCGACGTGCGGCGCCCTCTCTCTCGGCGGACATGGCTTCAGGAAGCCCTCTTGCAAAAGTGTCGTAAGTCTACGATTTCATAGATCCTACACGCCAACCCCTTTTTTAACATCCTAAGCTCTTCCCCAAAGCTCTCAAACCCTCCAGCCCTGCCTAACGGCGTTAAGCAGCCACATTGCAAAAGCTGATGCGAAACACATTGGCGATGACGACCGGTGCACCCGGTGCAGGTTCCCACCACCTTCGACGAGATGTTCCTCTTCAATGCGGCCGTGATGGGATTTGCGGAGAGTCCCGCCCTTGGGTGCAGCATTTGGGGTCGGCTCTCATGCACGGCTCAGCCAATTTGGGTCTGATGCCCAAGTTGCCTCCCGCAGCCTGCCAAGCTATGCCAAGCCTTGAGATATGAAATTGGGGGCAGATTTCGGGGCGTGGGTTGAGTCTTACGAGGCCAGAAAGCTGGAGCATCAGGGGTTTTGGGGGTCGAGGGCCGAGCCTCTGAGCTCTGAGGGTGCTTGGGAATTAGGATGCGTCAGGCAACTGGATGACCATCATCCTGGACCAGATCGATAGCATGGCTGCTCGATTCTTCCAGTGAGGGGGTGGGAGGGTGGTTGAGGTTTGGGGGCTGCCCTGATTATTGTAGTTTTGGCTTAGTTCTGTAGTGTTGCATTGCAAAAGTCTTATGGCTTTATCGTAGCATATGACTATTCTACTATATCTTTATTGTTTACTACATTGCTACATTGCTACATTGCGATATCGCTACATTGCTCTATATTGCTACATTGCTATATTACTTCTGTATAGTATGGTACTGTTATATGTCATATTACAGTTTGTTACTGTATTGAGATATTGTTATGTGATTTTATTGCATCGCTATGTTTGTTACAAATATATACATATATTTATCTCTCTATCTATCTATATATATATATATGTATATATTACAGTTCTATTGTGACATTGTTACGTGGTAATTGATTTTCTTTATGCTATTGTATGTTTTATGTGATTATGTTAGTTTACTATTACATGATAATCTTTTTATCTTCGTTTATTGACATGTTAGCCAAATACTATATTACTGTTGTATATTGCTACATGACTTTATGTTGACATTAGTATATTCCTCTATTCTAAACTGTTATATCATTGTCTTATTCCTATATGGTTATGTTCTTACACTCTTATACGGTCTTTTCAAATGTATTCTTGTAACCTTATCTTCTTGTATTCTTAGACTATTACGTGCTTCTTGCTCTTGTATTGTTATCTCATTCGTTTTATCATTATATGAATGTATTTCTGCACTAGTGTCTTCTTAGATGATTATCACATGAATTATGTGATGTTGCACTGTCTTTAGTATGGGACACCCCCCCCAAACACAACAACACACACATAAATAAATAATAATAATGATGATGATGATGATGATGATGATGATGACAATACTAATAAAGGAGTGGTATGTTACCACGTTGTATATTGTCATTGGTTTTCTTTTCATGTTATTGTAACGGTATCATTATACTACGGTATTATCACATTGGCTTCATTTTGTTGTTGTATGGTTACAGTATTATACTTCAGTATTGTATTACTACATTTCTATATTCTAATATCTATATATCCTCATATTATTCCTTTACCACATTACTATACTATCTATGGTTTGTTGTTTCCTTTTTGTCTGGGAACAATATTCTTATACTACTATCTCTTTATATCATTCTCGTTGTTATTCAATATGTTATTTCCGTATCTTGTTATCCTATTGTTTTATGGTTGCATCAGTATACTTTCATATGATTGTTTTGACATATGCATGTCCATGTATATATATATATATGTATATCCTGGAACTGCAAGCCTTTTGAAAACTCGCGATTCAAGAGCCAAATGCCCCAAAGGGGGGCGGGAACTGAGGCCTTGGTGGCAGGCTGAAACTCAAACCTTCACAGGGGGTTGAGGGTTTAGGGTTTAGGGTTTAGGGTTTAGGGAATATCATTTTGAAATTGGGGCTTAGGGTTTAGGGTTTAGGTTTTTCCCCTTGATCCTCTATACAATCCTTATAAATCCAGTAAGTTCGTTCCATTTATAGGCCTCCAAAACCGACCCCAGCTAAGCCCCCCCAAGCCTGGGTTTAATGAGGGTTTAGGGTTTAGGGTTTAGGTTTTGAAATTGGCCTAAGCCGTGAACCCACAGGTGATGAACGTGGCGAATTCGAGCCGTCTCCAGGAGGCACAGCAGGGGTGGCTAGGGGAAGTGGGTGAGGTGGATGTTACAGCGTTGGGGGTTCAGGGTTTTAGGGTTTTAGGGCTTTAGGGCCTTAGGGCCTCATAAGGGCTCAGGGGCTTGAGAGCTTAAGGTTTGCTGTAGGGTGTCATGGTTCGGGGTCTGCGGGTTCAGAGTTTCGTGCCTCAGGGTTTGGGAGTTGGAGTCTAGTGTGCCAGGGTTTGGGAGTTTGGGGTGTCAAGCTTTCCAACTCGCCAGGGATGGTTCCTGAAGGGCCACCTGAATACCTAAACCTTTTCAAGCCCTGCTCGGTTTAAACTTAGGGTGTAGGGGTGTGGCCCTAGAATCTCGAGAAGGTCAAACTCTACTGAGTAGAGCTAGGTTAAGGGTGTAGCGACTGGGGGGACTGGTAGGGTTTCGGGTTTAGTTTCGCACTACAAACCCACGTGGACCATCATGGGGTTGTAGGTACCACGAAGATGGGTACAGCCAGTTAAGACCATGGTTCCCCCCACTTTTGTGACCCCTGGTAAACCCTAAACTCTGAACCCTGAACCCTTAACCCTAAACCCTTAACCCTAAACCCTAGACCTGGTAACCCTAACCCTAGGCCCTAAACCCGGACCGTCAGGAGTGCGACGTCTGCTCCCTTGTTCTGAACCAGTGCGCCCAGGGAGCTTGCAAGCACTGCTTCGTTGCCGCTTCTACTACTCGCTTAAGAGCCACCCAAATTGAATATTCTTCCTTATGTGGACAATATGGGAATTATTTTTTTCCTTTTTTTTTTTTTTGGGGGGGGGGGGGGGGGCGTTCTTCAGCAAATAGTAGACTATTCGTGGAAATCAGACTCTGTTGCGCATTAGGTTTCAGCAGGCGGGTGTGCGAGTGTTGTGGCGTCATGTGGACCCATCATGCCCTTCAATACTGATGCAGACGAGAGGTACCAGGGGTCAATTGTCTTCAGCGAGCGGGGTTCCCAGCTTTTTCCCAGAGTCTCCAGGCTCAGTGCGCTTTCAGGGGCGTGTTGCAGCGCCACTGATGCAAGAGCTTGTTGCAAGGCGATATGGATGGAGTTTCTACCTTATTTACCTTATTGGGGTCCTTAGGGGATCCTACTACTTGGGAATCTCTATTGGGGGGTCCCCTATTTTCGTAAACCCCAGATAGGGTAGGCAGCTCAAAGCATTCCTAGAACGTCGGCGCCTGGTGAAGATGCTCCCGCTTCCATGATGGTTTGCTCCAGGTTTCGAGCCGTTATGCTCTCCTCCCTCCGGTCTCTGGTCCCAAAGGACGAATTGCGGGCACGTGGCAGGGTTTAGGGTTTCGGGTTTAGGGTTTAGGGTTTAGATTTTAGGGTTTAGGGTTTAGGGGGGGACAGTTCAGGGGATGCACGAGTTTTTGTCCCCAGCTTGTTACGTGCAGGACTGGGACACCGAGCACGAACTGTCTTGGAACTGGTTCTGGGAGAACGTGGAGCGGATGCTCAAGTCGCTGCTGTCCAAGCCCAAGGCGCGCGGAATGGTTCTCGTTTCGGGCAGGCTGCGCAGTGGTATGGCAGATGTGCACTCGGCGTTGCTCTTGAAGGTCCTTCGAAAAAATTCGGTACTCAGGTTACACCCCAGAAAAGGGACCAGGCGTGAGAAAAAAGAGCTCGCGTCTGTGTGTTTGCTTCGTTCCTGAAACTCAGCCGTGCTTGCCAGGGCCAAGTGAAGGCGCTGGAGAAGTTCTTGTCATCTCTCGACGAAGACCAGAGCCCGAGTTGCATTTTTAGAGTTTTATAGCCCTAAACCCTAAACCCTAAACCCTAAACCCCAAACCCCAAACCCTATCAGCAGCTGCTCTTCTGAAGGGCTCGGGGCGTACGATGCTGCAGGGTCTTGGGGTGGAGGAGATTGCAGGGTTTAGGCTTGCCTGAGCCTTTGAAGGCAGATTCCGTCCGCGAGACTCTAAAGGGCTTATAAGTGGGTTACAAGTACAGCTATAATTGGTTCGTAAGTACCCAAAACCCGAAGCCCTAAACCCTGAACCCTAAACCCCTAACCCCTAAACCCGAAACCCTAAACCCTAAACCCTAAACCCTAAATAAGTACTGAACCTCCAAGCAGTCAAGGACCAACTTCCTGCGCCGAGATGTCTATCGCAGGCCGGGTGGCCCGCAAGCCTGGACAGCGCCGGGTGGAGCGAAGCTCGAGTTCAGGGTTTAGGGTTTAGGGTTTAGGGTTTAGGGTTTAGGGTTTAGGGTTTAGGGTTTAGGGTTTAGGGTTTAATCAGACCTTAGCCGCCCAGAGATCCCGCTTAAAGATCGACCAACGCCCATTGCTTGAGGTTCTTCGCAACCGCGCCTGCTGGCCAGGACCGGCAAAGTTGGTGAGAAACATTGGGGGTTGTGGGGTTTAGGCGGTTTAGGGTTACAGGGTTAATTAAGGGGCTTACGAGGGTTCAGGAGGGTTTTGGGGTTTGGGGGGGTTATAGGGGGTTTGGGTTAAGGTTTTGTTTTGGGACCCTAGACCCTAAACAAAAAACAATCCGGCCTCAGGGTTGTGGGTCTTGGGTTGAGGGTTTCCAGGTTCGGGGGTAGGTGGATTTGTATCCTCCATCGCCTCCCATGTTGTCCTGCTGTGGACTCTGGGCCCTGTGGCCCACAGGGCTGATAGGGGTTTAGGGTTTAGGCTTTAGGGTTTGGGGTTTGGGGTTTAGGGTTTAGGAGTTCTCCTACTGACTTCTCCGACTCCCAAACCCTCCTCTCAAAGCAATGCATGTGCCCTCGACCCCACGCAGGACTTCTTCAAGCAGTCGACGACGCGCCTGTTCTTCATCGCGGACAAGCCTCCCGCCCTGATGAGAAGACGCATCCGCACTTGCAGAAGAATAGATGAACCGCCACTCTCCTTAGGAGTTTATGGTTTAAGGTTTAGGGTTGCATAACCCTAAACCCTAATCCCTAATTCCTAATCCCTAAACCCTAAACCCTAAACAGTTTTCACCAGGGGTCCTGACAGTAGGGTAGCAAATGCCATCAGGGTCATCAGAGTTCTGAAGCCGCTGCAGCTGGCCAGCTGAAAGCCTTCGCCCATGACTCTCCAAGAAGGATTCTAGTTAGCTCGTTGGGTTTAGGGCTTAGGGATTTTGGGTGTAGGGTTTAGGGATTTAGGGACTAGGGTTTAGGGATTAGGGTTTAGGGTTTAGGGTTTGGGGTGTAGATGTGTCCAGTCGTTTTAGATGGAAGAGGCATAGTCTGTCAGGGCTTGAGTGTAGAGCCACGGGGGGGGGGGGGGGGGGCTTTGTGGAAGGACTGCGGGGTTTAGGGACTTAGGCCAGGTAGGCTCGCACCCGCGCCACGTGCGCTTTCATGCACAATCTCGAAGCCCAACCCTACTGAAACTCGGGACCCCCCCCCCCCCCAAAATGGGGTTGATCTTCATGGTGAGGGCCCTCTTTGGGCTTTTTTTGTGCAGGACATAGTCGAGTGTAGACCCCAAAAGGGGCACAAACGCTGAACTGCCCCTTCGATCAACTCCCCAAATATGGGGGTTTGCGAAAATAGGGGGACCCCTAATACAGACCCCCCAACTAGTAGAATTCCCTTCTCATAAGGACCCCCCATAATATGGCACCCTGAGTATCGTAAACCCCCAAATGCCCCGAAACCCTCAACCCTAAACCCTAAAACAGACCCCCAAGTAGTAAGGTTTAAAGGACCCCAGTAAGGTACCCCCCAAATGGCCTCAGGGTCTTTGCCATGACGGTGGAGATGTTCAACTCCCCCCGATCGATGGTCGAGGATATCTCGGCTCTGGGCCTGCGCCCCTCAGAGACGAAGACAGTGGGAGGTAGCCATCTTGATTTCGGGTTTAGGGTTTAGGGTTTAGGGCTAGGGTTGAGGCAGTGGACCACGGTGAGGTCGAGTGTTCCGAGGGTCTTGGGATATTTAGGAATTCTGAGGCTGGGGCGCTGCAGCGGGTGAGTGGCGATTCGAGATGGGGGATGTGTCAGACCTCTTCCTAACCATGCTGAGACAGATGGGTATCTTACTTAGGATCAGGAATACCCGAAAGAAGATTAAAACCAGGGGAAGCGTTACCGTGCTTCCTGTCCAGGCTATACGGCTCATGAGCCGGCAAGTAGAGCTTGCTACCGCGCAGAACTTAGGCCACGTGGGCTACGCTATTCCCACGGAGCTCTTTCCCCCTTTTGTGTCCTCGGCCGTCGACGTCGTCCGTTCCATGACGACGGAGCGCTGAAAGAAGCCACGCTCTTGGACACCATTATCTCTTCCCTTCTGCTTCCCTTGTAGCGTATCCATCAGGAACACGGAGAGCCCCAGTCGGATTAACTTAGGTTTTTGTGCACATGCTCTAAGCAGGGCCCTATACCAGGGTTTCATCCACCTGGAGTAGTTGGTGATTTCTCTAAACTCTGGTCCCTTTTGGGGTATTAGAATAGTAACCCTAAAAAGGGACCATGACATAGAAAACGTGCCAAGTTGTCATCAGTGGAGGGTACTAGCAGGTTCATCGGTGCTTTTTGGCCTGCTTATTACCTACTTCGGGGACTTAGGAAGCTTACGGGTGCAATTATGATTGGGATTGTAAGTACCCTGAACCTTCAAGTAGTGAGGGTTTAGGGTTTAGGGTTTAGGGTTTAGGGTTTAGGGTTTAGGGTTTAGGGTTTAGGCCCTGGAAATCCTGACTGCGAGCTTTTGGAAATTCGCAGCTCCTGGTGGGGGGGGGGGGGGGGTGAATCCAGCAGGAGCTCAGAGAGGTGCCTATCTTTAAACCCTAAACCCTAAACCCTTACTAAACCCTAAACCCTAAACCCTAAACCCTAAACCCTAAACCCTAAACCCTAAACCCTAAACCCTAAACCCTAAACCCTAAACCCTAAACCCTAAACCTAACCCTAAACCCTAAACCCTAAACCCTAAACCCTAAACCCTAAACCCTAAACCCTAAACCCTAAACCCTAAACCCTAAACCCTAAACCTAAACCCTAAACAGTTCGCAGGACAGCCTGGCCGAGTCGGCCTTCCGCTGGTCCCTGACCCTGGTTTCGAAGATCCTAGTCCGGACCATCCTAGAAGGCCGCTCTGGGGGGCTTGAGGTGGGGTTTAGGGTTTAGGGTGTAGGGTGTAGGGTTCAGGGTTCAGGGTTCAGGGTTCAGGGTTCGTAGTTCAGGGTGTCAGTAGGGTTCATGCACATGAGTACGGGCTGTAAATACAATGACCCCTATTCATAATAACTGTGAACCCTAAACCCTAAACCCTAGACCCTAAACCCTAAACCCTAAACCCTAAACCCTAAACCCTAAACCCTAAACCCTAAACCCTAAACCCTAAACCCTAAACCCTCATCATGAAGGCGTGGGTTCCTTGCGACTTGCAAGACTCCCCTCACAGGCTCGACGATTGTGATGAAGGCGGTGAACACGAACTCAGAGAAGGCCGCCTCGGCTACCGGTTTACGGTTTAGGGTTTAGGGTTTAAGGGTTTAGGGTTTAGGGTTTATCTGGCTGGTTCTTAGTAGGGAATGAGGGAATGCTCCCTTAAAGGGTGTAATGTAGAGGCCCAGGGGGGTCTTCCGGAGCCTGGGCCGGGACCCCAAAGTTGTGCTAGATCGCCCAAAGTGCTTGAAAGATCTGGAAGCCCTAAGCCCTAAACCCTAAACCCCAAACCCCAAACCCTAAACCCTAAACCCTAAACCCTGTTTTTTGGGTGCCTTTACACTCCGAAGCCCTAAGCCCTGCAGACCCTGAACTGCAGGGAACTCTGAACCTTACACCTTGCAGACCCCTCAGCCCTCGAGGCCCTGAACCCCAAACCCTGTAGCCTCCTCCTAAGCCCGAAGCCCTAAACCCTAAACCCTAAACCCGAAACCCGAAACCCTAAACCCCAAACCCCCCAAAACTACCAAGCTCTCACTCACAGGGTCCTTAAGGGAGGGGCCCCCTATCCCTAAACCCTAAATCTTAAACCCTAAGCCCCAAACCCCAAACCCCAAACCCTAAACCCTAAACCCTAAACCCTTTGATCGCCAGGCGCTTCGCCGCGCCATCTCGGTCGCGCCCCGGGGTCGCCGCGCGCAGGAGCTTTTGGAGATCTCGGTGGCCAGGACTGCAACTTCTTCCGGGTTTGAGGGTTTAGGGGGTCTAGAGGGTTAGGGTTTAGGGTTTAGGGTTTAGGGCTTAGGGCTTAGGGCTTAGGGTTTAGGGTTTCAGGGGTGTAGGGGTGCAGGGGTGTAGGGGTTTAGGGATCCTTGTGTGTGGCTTGCCTTGGAAAAGCATAAGAGTTGGAGGGATTCTGGGGTACAGGGCTTGAGATTCCAGACGCTTAGAAGTTTTCAGGATTGGGGGAAGCTCCCCAATCTCGGCGTCCGTATTCCAAGTGCGCTGTTTTCGAACTTGGAGTACAAGGACCTAGATAAGCATGTCCAACGAACCGCCCTAACCCGTAAATCCGTCAACCCTTAGCCCTAAACAAGCCCTAAACCCTAAACCCTAAGTTGCACCCTTGGACCTTTCACCCCCGAAACCCGGCCAGCGATAGGAGCCCTTGAACTGAACTCCGACTGAAGCCAAGGGTTTAGGGCACACATGTCGGGTTTAGGGTCAGAAAGCCCCTGCATCCCTAAACCCTAAACCCTAAACCCGAAACGCTAAACCCTAAACCCTATACCCCGACAACTTGACCACCCTCGCGCCAAACCGAAGTCGGTGCCCGAAAGCTGTTTGGAAGTTCATGGGAATCAAGGGCTGGGGTTCTAAGTAGGGTTTAGGGTTTAGGGTTTAGAGTTTAGGGTTTAGGGTTTAGGGTTTAGAGTTTAGGGTTTAGGGTTTAGGGTGTAGGGCAACTACAGCCCAGAAGTGGGTTCTACGCTTATGTGGGCGTACGTATATTTGAGTCTGCTTAACCTACTTCATACCAGTGAGCCTCCATGGGGTAGGAACTCCTAGCCTGCTTGCTTAAGGTGCCAGGTGTCCTAGATCAGGAGTATAATCCTTAGTTGAACTATAGAAAGGGCGCTTGAAAGGCATCCTACTTTGGAATGGACCCAAGCTAAGCCAAACCCTAAACCCTAAACCCTAAACCCAAAACCCCCCCCCCCCCCTAAACCCTAAACCCTGCATGACTGCCCAGGTGGGAACTCAATCCATATCGCCTTTGTACTGGTCCATCGAAAGCGGGAGCCACAACTGCTCGAAGGCACCCTGCGCACGTAAACTTAAGGGGTCGGTCGGAATAATTTCTTGGTAGCCCCATGATACCCTTTACCCTTTTTTGGTTCTGGGTTCCCTTATAAAAGAACCTAGCCAAACAAGGGTGCCCTCATGTTCATATGGTTACTGAGCTAGCAAGATTACTAATAATATTCCCTTATGGTCCCGTTGTAAATATACTATACTAACCCCCAAAACCCTAATTATTTCAATTCTTCAGGCCTCTACCTTATGGTCCCTTTATGAACATACTATAATAACCCCCCAAAACCCTATTCTAATTCTTCAGGCCCCTGCAATACTTCCGAGGTCTGGGGCAGAGGTGTGAAGGGGCCCGAGACCCTGAGAGGTCATAAGCGAGCTGCTTGGGGGGTCTGAGGACTCAGGTGGGCTTTCCTAAACCCTAAACCCTAAACCCGAAACCCGAAACCCTAAACCCTAAACCCTAAACCCTAAACCCTAAACCCTAAACCCTAAACCCTAAACCCTAAACCCTAAACCCTAAACCCTAAACCCTAAACATGACATCGGCCGCAAGTTCCCGCACTGCTTCCTCGCGTGCGCAGGCGATGGTTGAGGACCTCCTCACGATCCGGGCAGACCGTGACAACTACTACTACGGTGCCACATCCAGATGATGGGTAGTTGAGGGTTCGGGGTTTAGGGTTTAGGGTTTCGGGATGTCTCCCCCAACCCTAAGTCCCCCCGAAGAGCCCTAGACAGGATGAAGAATAGGTCCTTGCAAGGACATCCTTGTTTCTAGGAGGCTGTGAGTCAACTTGAGACATAGTGTTTCTCGGTTTTAGGGTCGTCTGAGGTTGAGGCCGCGGCTAGGAGCTTTTTTTGGTAGGGTTGAGGGTTTAGGGTTTAGGGCTTAGGGTTTAGGGTTTATTAGGGTTTAGGGTTTAGGGTTTAGGGTTTAGGGTTTAGGGGAACCAACCCAGCCACTGCGCCAGGCTGCGACGCCTTGTTCACACGTCACCCGGAGGTGATCCACAAGCTCTGTGCCTGGCCTCATCTACGGAATGTCTTGGTCATAGCGGGGTAACATTCTTAGTAGCTGAGCGAGTACACTTTACACTTTCTGGGATACTATGATTCCCTATAGAGCTGCAAGTGTACACTTCTTGGGGGCTTATGAACTCAGCAACCAAGTTACCCAAACTCAATAAGGAATAGTAACTTATACTCTTCCAGCCATGAACTAGACGTGTCGCATTCCTCGTTCATGACCCCCGTGTCAGGGTAGGGGCTCTTTGGAAAGGCCGAGCGGTTGCTTCACAGGGTATGGTCGGATGCAGCGCCGGCCCTGCCCCAGACTAAACCCCCAAACCCCTAAACCCCTAAACCCTAAACCCTAGGTGTTAATAACCCAACAAGGTACCCCTCGACCCTAAACCCTAAAATCGTAAACCCACCAGGTGTGGATGCCCGCCAGCTGATCTGGCCCCTCCTGGATGGCTTGATCTGGCGTTCACGAATCTCTGTGCAAGGACACGGCGAGCCAACCAAAACTGCACATCCGGACAGGGAGCTGTGTAGGGTTTAGGGTTTAGGGTTTGCTGTGTGGCATGGATGCTGTGAAGGTTAGGATGCAGCAGAGGCTCAAAAGCCTTGTCAGGTGCGAAGAGCAGCTCTGGCCCGACTGTGGAAGGCCATCTAACATCTTCTCCCACCCCACGCCGTCCAAGGCGGCAAAGCCACCCTAACCTATTCCTTTTAGGGTTTCAGCATAAACTCAGGGCAGTTGCTTACTTCCAACAAACGTCTTCCGTCACCGGTGCTAGCCAGGAGGAAGGTTTCAGCCATTCCAGGCTGCCAGGCAGTGTTAGGCTCGTTGTGGAAGGCTTCCGAAGGTCCAGGGAGGTTTCAGGGGGGGGCGAACGACCTGGGTCGGCTTGCGCCATGAGGTCGAGGGGCTTAGGAAGCCCCCCAAACTGTGGTGAGTTTAGGGTTTAGGGGTTTAAGGGTTTCAGAGTTTAGGGTTTCGGGTTTAGGGCAGAATCTCTATTTTTTCCATGGCGGTGGACATGTAAACAAGTGCTCTACTTTCTCCTGAAGCTACAGCTGCTGGTGCTGCTCCCAGTGCTCATGATGGTGGTGGTTGTGCACTGCCGCTGTCGACCAGGAGGAGGAGGAGGAGGAGGAGGAGGAGGAGGAGGAGGAGGAGGAGGAGAGGAGCGGGAGGAGTGGGAGGAGGTGAGCAAGGGAGAAAGGGATGGGAGGAAGGAAGAAGATGGCGCAACTTCATAAAGTTTCGCGACTGGTCTCTCTACATTCATGGCTCGCACTCGCACCAACTCGGATTCTGGAACTCGGGCAATCCCGAGTCCCAGGAGTCCTAGAGTTCAGGGTTTCGGGTTTAGGGCTAGGGTTTAGGGTGTAGGGTTTAGGGTTTAGGGTTTAAAGTTTAAAGGGTTTAGGGTGGTCGTGGGGCAACTCGGCCTCAGGCTTCAAGAGCTCAGGTGCCCAAAGCTGTGACCCACGATCTATGGCTGACCCCCAGAAAGACCAACGCCCTGACACTCGAAGCCGCAGGGTTTGGGGTTTAGGGTTTCGGGTTTAGGGCTTACTGTAAGGTTTAGGGTTTAGGGTTTAGGGCTCCAGTCAAAGACGAGTTACACGGTCCCTTGATATGGTCCTCTACCTCCTTTAAAGGGGTGGTGATGTATGGGCCCTCTGGTTTGATAGGGTATGTATAGGGGATATAAGGGGTCCTCCGTTAAGGGCCCATACTAAGGGTTTGGGTTTGGGGTTTGGGGTTTAGGGTTGGTTTAGGGTTAAGCTACCCGGAGAGTCAGGACAGCGCCGGGTGAACTATTACATCAAGCCCCTCGGCCCCGAAGTGAGCACCTGCGCATGGGGTTTCTAGCGTTTCGGACATCTTGTCGTCCTGGGGCCCGAAGGGTTTCTAGGGTTTCTAGGGTTTCTAGGGTTTCTAGGGTTTCTAGGGTTTCTAGGGTTTCTAGGGTTTCTAGGGTTTTCTGAAATGTTCGATCGCGCCGATGCTCTCGGATCCCGAGGCACGTCTTCTGCTGCACCAGGAGCCAAGACTTAGGTCCCAAGAAGCCCTAAACCCTAAAGCCTTAAACCTAAGGCCCTAAACCCTAAACCTTAACATACCGCTGAAGCCCTAAAGCCCTGAATCCCCAATGAAGCCTTGAAGGCTTGAGGGGGCGTGGAGCTTTTGGGTTTCTGCGGGGTGAACCCTAAAAACCCTAAAGCGTACCCTTGACAACGCTCCGGGCAGCCCCTGGGGGATATTTTGTCTCTTCCCTTATTGGGGCTTAAGAGGATCACATTTAGCAACATATTTCAGAGAGTTTTCTTTCGCCATCCTAGCAGTGACTTCTATTGTCTTAAGAAGCCCCCACAGAAAAGAAGAAGAAAACAAGCCCTGTATGGCCCTTGTAAGGAAGAACATCTTCATTTTTTTGGGTGCTTCTGAAGCCCACAGAGAAGAAGAAAAAGCCCTTATCGCCCTTACAAGGAACAAGCTCATCATTTTCTGAAGCAAATAGTAGATCCCCAATCCCTAAACCCTAAAACCCTAAACCCAAAACCCTAAACCCCGAACCCTGAACCCTGAACCCTAAACCCTGAACCCTGAACCTTAAACCTAAACCCTCTACACGGCCCAATAGAAGCCACACAAATCCCACCGACAGTCTGGGAGGCACCTCGTCCAGGACTCCGAGGGCAACTTTGCCCAGGTGGCCTTAGGGTTTGGGGTGTAGGGTTTGGTTTTAGGGTTTAGGGTTTAGGGTTTAGGGTTTTAGGGTTTAGGGTTTAGGGTTTAGTGTTTAGGGTTTAGGGTTTAGGGTTTAGGGTTTAGGGTTTAGGGCTTAGGGTTTAGGGTTTAGGGTTTAGGGTTGTCGGGTTTAGGAAGCAAGAACGCTTGACAACCCACAGCATGCTGGGATGAAGTTGGCATGTCTCACGGGGACAGGCAGAAAAATCACGTGAGCCTGGCAACGCTTGAGCACGTCTTCTCAAGCTTTTCGTCGGAAACATGAAGAGGTATTGCACCATGTACGTTCCAACTTCACAAGGCGCTCGAAGGCAACACAAGGTCGATGTGTTCTCAGCGAACATGTCGGCACACCAAGTCGTCCACGGTTTGGTTTGACCACTCTTCTGCTTTTGGGGCTCTCAGAATCGCAGGCCAGTTGAGCAAGTCCGTGCAGCTCGCCGATGTTTGCAATGCAACACAGTTGCCGTGAAACTTTTAGGGTTTAGGGTTTAGGGTTTAGGGTTTAGGGTCATTTTGTGGGGCAATTTGCACGACGGCCCGAAAGGATCGCGATAAAATGTTAGCAGCACGGCTTGACACCCTTGGCTTTTGTAGATCTGTAGGTAGTTCGAGCTCAACCCCTAAACCCTAAACCCTAAACCCTAAACCCTAAACCCTAAACCCTGCGCAGGCTCTCGAGTGGCTTGCAGCCTCCAAAGATCCGAGCGTCGTCGTGCATCCTGTCGTGGCTCCTTCGTGGAACCCATATTTAGGGTTTAGGGTTTAGGGTTAAGGGTTTAAGGTTTAGGGTTTAGGCTTAGAGAAAATAGGGGTACCCTTTTTGCGGGTCCCTTTTAAGGGGATTCTATTCTATTGGGGGTATAAAAGGGGTGCCCCTATGTTGGGAAATACCCAAATCAACACCGACATGATGTCTCATAGGTGAGACCCTGAAGCCAACGGTTGAAGCCCTGAACGCAGCATAAGAGGCAGGGTCCAGTTGTGCCTTTGAGCGAGGTGCTTTTCTCTGATCTTATGTGGACTCGTGTGGTCATGTACCACTTCCTGGCAGAGACGCTCTGCTGCAACAAGGGCTGAAGTATGCCGATAGTCAGTGCAGTACACTTCAGGGTTTAGGGTTTAGGGTTTAGGTTTTAGGGTTTTAGGCCTAGGGTTGTGAAGTAGCCGATGAACTCACAAGCTGCGGGGGACGTGTTTGGGGTGCCGTAGTCTTTCACGGGTTTCCTTCGGTTGTCGCTGTGAGAACTGGTGTTCTGTCGTTTCCAGCAAAGATTTAATCAACGACTTCCTTTCCCAGTCGGAGCCTGAATCAACTACTGTATTGAAAAGAAGCCCCATCAGAGACCACCATGACTTGGAGTTCAAAGAAGGGTGTACGTTCAAACAGGCGGCCAAGCAAAAAAGCGCCACAAAAGACAACGTCACTGTGTGCACTCAAAGGGTTGTGCAACCTCCCTGAATTTGACTGGCTGTGTGGTTTGGGGCCCCTTGCTCGACGATGCCATGAACAGAAGCCATAGCCCATTCCTCGCTCCATGCTGCACGGCGCGCTCCCCCCATTCAGCCACCCGAGAAACCATCCATAACAATGGATGCCCGAAGCACCCTGAACACCTGCAGAAGCCCTGAATAGACCCTGTCAACAGCGCCACACATGCCCGGACACGAGGCGACTTTACTTTGCCTTCACCCTGGCGATTTTCATCCTCAGCCGTTCGTCGGGACATGGTTCTGATTCGAAAGTATCGGGTTTGTATAGGCCACTGTGGGGATTTCTACAGTTTCATTTTTGATGAAGGGGGGCGGGGGGGGGGGGCGGGGGTGATATGCTCTAGGTCTGACTTGGCATGTAGGCCAGTCCAAGTAAGAAGTCAACCCTCCCCCCCCCACACCCCCGCTTAGGGTTTGGGGTTTGGGGTTTGGGGTTTAGGTTTAGGGTTCAGCATCTCAAGTCCAAGCATTCACTAGTCAAGCAATGTAAGTGTTGGAAAATGCAGACAGTCTTGGACTAAGCGTGTGATGAGCCTTCTCAAGTCTCAACAAGCCATTTAGTAGCAACACAAATCAAGAGAGTATTCATAGTACTTTTACCAGCCGTAAGTACAATAACAAGAACAAGAGTCATAAAGCAGTGAATAACTAATTTTTTTAAGAATCCCATATACAAATACTGACCAAACACACAAAAGTAACACAAAACAAGTAGGCAGCCAAAAAACAGATCCCCGAGCTGAGGCCAGTCGGTTTTCACGCTGAACGGCAACTTCGTGGGCGAGACAGAGAACATCGCGGTCTTCGCATGCCGATGCTTCATCTACCTGGGCAGTATGCAGGAAGCTCAGACACGGGGGGTTTAGGGTTTAGGGTTTAGGGTTTAGGGTTTAGGGTTTAGGGTTTAGGGTTTAGGGTTTAGGGTTTAGGGTAGCTTCCCCCTTGCGCGCAATATGAAGCTTCGCCTGCGCCTGGCGAAGGCACCAACATGGTTTGATTTTGAGTGTGGCTGCTCAGGTGCTTTCTTCTCATCCGAAGCTTGGCTTTGTCTAGGACTGGGTTTCGGGGGCTGAGAGTTTAGCGCAGTGCTGAGCGGAGGTGGCGTTGACGTAAGAACCCTAAACCCTAAACCCTAAACCCTAAACCCTAAACCCTAAACCCTAAACCCTAAACCCTAAACCCTAAACCCTTAAGCTGTTTCACATGTCAGTGCCCTTGCAGACCGAGGCCTTCTTGGAGGCTCAGTGGTACCTAATTTCCCTAGCCATGAACCTTCAACTAAACACTCCTCCCAACCTCTCCCCCCGCAAGCCTAGCGCATCCCCGTTGTTGAACACATTTTTCGGTTTTTACAAGTAGGTAGTTTCCCAGGAACCATTGCGATTCCTAGAGGGTTTAGGGTTTAGGGTTCACGGTTGCTTTATGTATCAGGGACAATGGATGATTGTCACTCTCGAAGGGGGTTCTGCGGCCCCAAAAAACTCTAAAACCCTAAGACCCAAAGAGCCCTAAAGCCTTAAAAACCAGAGAACCCTAAAAGGCCCTAGAAACATTAGGCAACCCCCCAAAACCCAAAAGCCCAATGCGGAGGGTTCGGGTTTACGGGCCAGGGTAGACTAGAACCCTAAACCTGAAACCTGAAACCCCCTAAACCCTAAACCCTAAACCCTAAACCCTAAACCCTAAACCCTACACCCTAAACCCGATGCAAGGCCTGGTGCGGCTCTTGATCGCCGACTTCCGCGCAGGGGACGTCACGAGGCGCCTCCCCCCTTTCCCCCTCCCCCGGGGGCCTAAGGGATCGGTTTAGGGTTTGGGGTTTGAGGTTTAGGGTTTAGGGTTTAGGGTTTGGGGTTTGGGGTTTCGGGTTTGGGGTTTCGGGTTTAGGGTTTGGGGTTGAGGGTTTAGGGTTTTGGGCCTCAGACCCAAAAGAGGCTCTGCAAACCCAGATTGCTGGAGGCACCGAGGAGGAAATCCTGAACCACCCCTTCAACCGAGCTCCGGCCGTGCTACGCGCCCCCTCAAAGCCACACTTTTGAATTAAAAGGCCCTAAACCCGACCCTAAACCCTAAATTACTAAACCCTAAACCCTAAACCCTAAACCCTAAACCCTAAACCCTAAACCCTAAACCCTAAACCCTAAACCCTAAACCCTAAACCCTAAACCCTAAACCCTAAACCCTAACCCCCCACTTGGGGGGGTGGGGGGGAGGGGGAAGTAGCAGGCCCTCGAAGGGGGCACGCTCTTGCATGAGCAGGTTCCGGTGCCTCCCGGTGCCCAACTTCATCCTCAGCCGCGTGGCTGCTGCGGGCTTTTAGGGTTTAGGGTTTAGGGTTTAGGGTTTAGGGTAGCTTGTTTGGGGCTTCTGGCTTAGGGGTTTTCAGGGTTAGATCATTTTGGCCTTAGGCTTTGTTGACTTGGCCTCAATGTTCCTGCGATGCCTCGCAGCATGGCTATGCACCGGCCAGGGAAGGATCACTGCAAAGTAAGGTTGGGATGTTCCCAGTTACACTAACAGTCCTTAATAGGGACTATAATGGGGGGTTACTAGAATCCCTGTCAGAGACTGCCAGCAACTTAGTATAACGGGGAGCGTCCCAAGTAATGACTGTGATATAAGGCATCGCGGAAGCTGGCGGGGGGGGGGCTATTTATAAACTAGATGGGCATTTTGGATAAAGCAGACAGAAGTCTGTTGCGTTTAAGGTGAAACTGTGAAACGAGAACGGTTGGTACGTTCAACGAAAGGAAGTCAAGGTGCTGTCGCACAGCATGCGGGTGTAGCAAATAATTAGGAATCAGAAGACAGTCAGAATTTGTCGAAAATCGCCAGAATTTGCGGCGAGATGCCGTCAAAATGAACATGCCAAACCCAAACTATGAATAGAAAAAAGTCGCCTTCGGGCAGGAGCTCGTAAGGTTACGCGGCGCAACTGACAGCTGAATAAGCTTACCACAAAATGTCAACTCGTCTGGCATGCTGGATAACTCGTACAGTGGGGATTTTAAGGGTCTGGATACTCTGGGTTTTGGAGTACTATACTTTAATACTCTTTTTGGTTCTGGGTTCCTATTATAGTTACTTGTACCTAAAAAGTATATACTTTTTTTTCCCAGGGTCTACTCCAAAGGTGGGTACTGGTAGAGTACACAACCACTGCCAGCTCTGTGCCAAGAGACTTGTTTTCGCTCTAGCCAATGTTCTGTTTTGCTTTGGGTGCACTACTGGGTGAGGAACCTTGCCCACTTGGATACTGAACACCCCCCGATACCCTCATCCTCAAACTCCACACCACAATAGCCAGCCTTCGATGAGGTGCGCAAGAGGTGGGATACTTCGGTCTGCTGGTGACCATGAGCCTTGCTTGGCCTAGCAGCTGCTTCGTACATCGGGACATGGCAGGCTTCCTGTGCAGGAGTAGATAGCAGCACCGTGCCGAAGACGAGCATAGCACGGCATGGCCACAGTGTAGTATAGCATAGCAAACTACACACATACAAAGAATTCTGCATATGTGTTGAGCTAAAGGTCATGGTAATTAAGAGCATATATATATATATATATTTATATTTTATATTTTTACATGTTTATATTTTAATATTTATGTATTTGTACATTTTAATATTAATTTATATCTATATTTATATTTATACTTATATTTATATTTGTAGTTTTTATTTATTTATGTTTGTCCATGATGTGTGCGCGTCCGTGATCCGCGAGCAGCCGTGTGAAAGTTATCTTGGCGGAAGTGTTGACAACAGTCAACATTGGGTCCAGTTCAGGTTTAGGGTTTATGGGGTTTAGGGTTCAGGGTTTAGGTAGAGCAAGCCTGGCAACACAATCGCGAGAATCCCGCGCGAGAGGCGAGTCTGACGTCTCCACCCCCCCTTTCCCCCCTCCCCCAACCCAACGCTCAACCCTAGCCTAAGCACTCGCATCCGTAGATATAACGAACTCCAGGACTAGAGGTTTTGGGGTTCAGAGGCGTGCGCCTTTGGGCGCGCTAGAGTTCTGCCAAAATAAAGTAATCTTTTTGCGAAAGATGCGTTTCCTGGACAAAGCAGTTTCGATCAACTGCCGTCTTACATAGCGTATTTGTGTTTTAGCAATGTGCTCTCGCTCTCTCTATGCATTACAGTGTGCATACTGCTTTCTATGTAGATCGTCTGTAGATGTAGTATATGGCACACAATAGTTGATTAGTCTATTGAGTATATTATAGCGTAGCATAGCATAGCGCCGTATAGCATAGTATGATAGTAAGAGTCGGGTAGTACAGCGTAGAGAGAGGAAACAGGAGCAGTAGAGCATGCTCAAGTAGAGCGAGAAGCTTTACGAAGCCTGGCTTCCTTGGGTTTCGGGTTTAGTTGGGGTTGCAGGGTTCTAGCCGTAGGCTTTAGGAGTCAAGCCGTCAAGCCCTAACCCTAAACCCAAAACCCTAAACCCCCTAAACCCTAAACCCCCTAAACCCTAAACCCTAAACCCTAAACCCTAAACCCTAAACCCTAAACCCTAAACCCTAAACCCTAAACCCTAAACCCTGGACCCTAAACCCTAAACCCTAAACTAAACCCTAAACCCTAAACCCTAACCTAAACCCTAACCCCTAAACCCTAAACCCTAAACCCTAAACCCTAAACCCTAAACCCTAAACCCTAAACCCTAAACCCTAAACCCTAAACCCTAAACCCTAAACCCTAAACCCTACCCTAAACCCTAACCCTAAACCCTAAACCCTATATAAACCCCTGAGCACATCTCAGGATCATCATGTGCACCCAAGAGCCCATCTTCTGGTGCATGGGCAACATGGATGGGGACTTTCCGGGGCTCCTTGGGCCTGAAATCAGGAGATTTGGGGGCTTCGGGTGCTACATGGAACTTGCAAGTTTGTTCTTTTTGAGTCTTCCATTCTACGTCCCTTTACAACCCTCAGCAGCGCCAATCCCCAAACCCTAAACCCCGAACGAAACAGCCACTCCATCCTACAACCTCTGCTGGCACAATGGTAGAATAGTAAAAATAGTAGTATAATAGTATAATTAATAGTATAATAGTATAATAGTATAATGGTATAAGAGTATAAAAGTACCATAGTGCAATAGTACAATAGTACAACAGTATACTGGTCTGGTACAATAGTATAATGGTATAATTGTAGAATAGTACAATCGCATAATAGTGTAGTGGCAGAAAGTAAAATAGTATAATCGTAAAATTGAATAATCGAATACTAGTACAATAGTATAATCGCATTATCGTATAATCGTACAATAGTATAGTAGTAGAATTGTATGGTGGTATAATGGTATTTGGAGTAGTATAAGCAGTATAATCGTATAGTTGTCTAATCGTGTAAAAGTATCATAGTATATCCGTGCAACTATATGTTACTATCGTCGTATGAGAATATTTCTATATGACTGTACAACATATTATGGTATAGCAGTATGCAATATGCTAGAAATATTAGTTTAGTCATGAAATGATATGGTAGCAAAGTACTTATGGTAGCATAACAGTGCAAAACATGCAATGCTAATGTAACAACATAGTAATACCAAAGTACACGAGCACGATGATTCATTTTTCTGGTTATAATGACATATTAATGTAGTATATGATTGTAAAAAAGCAATAGCAGAAAAATATGATCTTTTTGCACCAGGGTTTGGTACTAATTACCCACGAAGCTGTGAAATGTCGAGTTGTGCCTTCCTGGCAGACGTCTCAAGAAGGATCTCCACCCATTTGGGATGTTTTTAGGGTTTCGGGTTTAGGGTTTCGGGTTGGCCCTGACAACCGAAAACCCTCAGATCTTCACGTGCAAGGTCTGGCCTCTTCACGCCCTACTGCCCGGAGGGTGAGTCACATCTCGAGGTGTACAGCATCACCTCAGGCGCTTCGGCCTAAGGGCCTATTCTAGGAACGTAAGAGAGTTGCTCGCAGGCACGTGCTTTCTTCTAGCTTGAAGCTCCAGTGGTGAAAGTTGATTGTGCATGAGATCCCAAGAGCGTGCATCCCCCAACCCACGCCCAAACCCGAACCCCCATAAACCCCTAAACCCTCCTAAGGTCCTAGCGGGAAAACACAGGCCCCCCCTCCCCGCTGGTCCGAAACCCAACATGCCTGCTTTTGCAGCTTGGTGCCACTGCTGCATGCCCCCGAAGTGTGCATCTGCTCTTTGGACGGGGGGGGTGGGGGGCAGGAAGGGAGTCGCAGCCTTAGCTTTCACTGGAGTTAAACCCTAAACCTCGAGGGTGGCAAGATCCGAGCAGCGAAGTGCAGCAGCGGGTGTGGCAGCAAAACATGAAGGGCCAGGAAATTGTTTAGGGTTTAGGGTTTAGGGGGGGTTAGGGTTTAGGGTTCAGGGTTCAGGGTTCAGGGTTTAGGGTTTAGGGTTTAGGGTTTAGGGTTTAGGGTTTAGG